AATAAAGAATCCACAGTATTACTTCAATAGTTACAAAATGAACATCGGTCGAAACTCTGCTATAAAATTAAGGAATCAAAAACTAAATCAATTATTTACACTACAAATCTATAAAATAAAAAATGTATATAATAATATACAAAAACGCATATTGCTCAAACAAAGATTCTGATAACAAGGTATATTAAAGAAATTCCGGTTTTAAGCGAGGTTATTGAGTTAAAAGATTATGTTAAAAAATGTATAAAAAGTTAATGAACAAAGGAATCTTTGAATCTGTCATTTTCGTTGACCAAAGATACAACTATTGACATGTACATATATTTTCATAATATTCTTTATAAAAAAACAAAAAAGTTTGTTCCCTTAATTTATCACACTGTCCTATAGGTAAAGTCTTAGTTTAAGATACTCATGTAAGATAAATCCAATAATAATAAAAATAAGTTGACAAAATTAATAAAAACGGTCACGTCAATGTTAAAGTAATATCTATCTTTATACATACTATTAATACTAAATAAAAGATAGAAACACTTTTGCTATTAGATATAACGAATTTTTAAAGATTGAATTCAAATAACTACAATTTCTGTTCTAAAAGAAAACATACATCCTATACAAATATAACAACACCAAAAAACAATAAAAAAGACAATAAACAATGAAATAAACAACTGTAATTTGAAAAATATTAATTGTTAATCGTTAAAATGTCAAACTGGCCTAAAAGAAAGGCGTTCTGTTTATACAAGTGACTATAATGCATTATCACCAACGGTCTCATAACTATTTAAATAGAAAGATATCTATTGATTGTTTTAACGACAATTTTGTGAAATTAGGCTGTTTTATAAAATGTTGAATTATTAAGTTACTAAGGTTCTTCTAGCATAATTTGGAACATAATTTTCCGAAAGTTTGGAATAAGTTTATAAAAACATTTATTTATTAGGTTTTCAATGCTCTTTAATTTCTTATTTGGTCTGGTATTCCAACGGTTTTAGTTTAAGCCATTGATGTGAACTTCAGTAGACGGCTTGCCAGCCAAAGTTTTGTAGTGAATTATACGACAACAATGTTACAGCATTACCTCTTTTCATATAAGGGTTAAAAAATTAGATCAAAGATACCAAACTTAATGATACATTCGTTCGTTGCAAAGTGAAGAAAAGTCAGAAAAACATGGTTATCGTTTAATGTTTTTGAGCTTTTGATTTTGCCATTTAATTTGGGACTTTCCGCTTTGAGTTTCCCTTGGAGTTCAGTATTTTTGTGATTTTACTTTTTGATAATTGATATATTAAAGATGCAAAGTTGATCTTCGATGCAGAATTTTTTTAATAGTTGTTATTGGCTTTTAGCTAGCTGTCAGTAACTGCGAGTACTCTCAGATCTGTTCTTAGTGTCTTTTTGTTGTTGCGATGTACAAGTACCCGTCAACGTCTACTCTGTGTTTTTATTAGATGTATGTCTATTTGTATTCATATGATGAATTAAGCCTTTTCAATCTGATTTTTATAGTTTGTTCTTATGTTGTACTGTTACACAACTGTCCCATGTAAGGGGGAGGATTGGGTGCCTGCTAACATGTTTAACCCCACCAGATTCTAGATGTGCCTATCCCAAGCCAGGAGCCTGTAATTTAGTGGTTGTCGTTTGTTGCTGTGTTACATATAGTTTTTCGCTCAATATGGTGTACATGACTTAGGCCGTTAGTTTTCTCGTTTGAATTTATTTACATTTGTCATTTCGGTTCCTTTTATAGCTGACTAAGCGTTTAGGGCTTTGTTCATTGTTGACGGATGTATGGTGACCTAAAGTTGTAAATTTCTGTGTCATTTGGTCTCTTGTTGAGAGTTGTCTCATTGAAAATCATACCACATCTTTTTTTCAATATATGTTGTCATAACATATTCTCCAGCTGTTATACAGTTGAACAGGAATGAAAATATTCTATCAGCATATTGTTTTAAAAAAGAAGAGTGTTTCGTATCAGTTGAAAATATAATAATGACACCCTTAGTAATATTTCATGTGAATATCTGAACACGATTTTAACATACCTGATTTCAGATCTTTTCAATTAATCATTAAATCGATTGAATTGGTGACACATATTGAAAGCTTGTTGTGTGTTGATGATGTTTGAAGATCTTATTGTAATTGACGTGATATGTCATATATATTTCACCAACTTATAATAATATCAAATGTTTCTCCCAACACTAGGCACATACATCCAAAACATTCCATTTTCTCTAATGTCGATCAGTTTGTTATGATTCAAGGCTAAAAGCAGATGTAGAGCACTACCAAACAATAAAAACAAAAAACAATAGAAACATAAAAGTCAGTAAACAAAGTCAACGATTCTTTATAATAAGAAGTATCAGTATAAAATGGCGATAAGAGTGTTAAACAGTATTACTGTTTGAATAAAAGATGCGAATCTTTTGGAATATTAATGCCCTTTATAAATATTCAAAAGTGTTTCATGTATCTGTCCCCGGGGTTGTACTTGGTTTAAATGTACGAGGACTCTGTATAAGATTTAAAATGTGCTTAAGTAGTGGTATTCGAACATCATTGCATAATTCAAGTCTTTTTAAAATTGAAATGGGAGATTTCTTATTCATCTGATTTATGTATAAACAAAATTAATTCACCTAGTACGTATTTAACTTATGAAAATACATTTAGATATAACTAGGACGGATGCAAATACTTATGATGTATCCAGAACGGAAAAACAACTAAATACATTAGTTAAACTTTATAGTACAAAATATCGTTTTCTACATTTGAAAAAACTGATATATTCCGTCGACTGTTATATAGACTGTTGAACAAAAAGACTTACGGAAGGATTCCTTAACGTAAACACCAATTCTTCATAAAATTGGTTTATGACAAAAAAAAGTTACATTTTAATTTTCATTTCTGTGAAATCTTATATGATAAATTGAATGGCAAGTCCGTTAAAATTGAAGTTATTTTTTGTTTATTTATCCCATAATGCAGACATTTTTACAAGTGATTTCGAGAAAGTGGTCCCTTTTCGATAAATGTATTGTTCATTATTAATTTTTGTACAGGTCAATCAGTATAATTTTACAAATTAATCCTACACCTGTAAATCATGCATACTGAAGAAAAGGAAAAAAGAATAACAAAGAGTATAATTTATTCATACTAATTATTTTCAGATAATGACCTTTAAAAATTGTCTCTTCATGCTAATTGTAGCGTGTTTATATAAGCATAACATTGTCTAAAGTGTAAGAAAACACTTTTAAAATTGTGCTTTGAAATCGTTTCCGTTGACTTTCGGTGTCCTACATTTATATCTACCATAAAGAAAACTCAAAGACAAAACATATATCAAAACATTTTGAGCTTTCGCTATAACAAAAGTATGACGATCATGACATGTAATAAGGTTAAGAATGGGGTAAGCATTATCTTTTTTTATATAACAATGTACTAGGGTTGACAAAATAGATTAAAGAACAAAATGATACATTCGTTCGTTTAATTTAATATTAGTATACAAAATATAATAAGGCAACCCGCCATAATGTTTCATATGAATATCTGTACACAATTTTAGTATATCTGATTCTTTTATTTAATCATTTAGTCGATTGAATGGATTACACATATTAGATGCAGAAGAATGTCTTGATTTTTGTTGATGACATTTGAGGTTTAATTGTAATTGAGGTCATATGTGGAATCTATTTCCCCAATTTTAAATATCAAATGTTCCCCTCACACTATGCGTATACATCCCGAACATTCAATTTTTATCTAATATCGAGCAGCTAGTAAGGATCCAAGGCTGGCAGAACATGTTTGAGCACTGCCAAAAAACAAAAACAAGAGAAACATAAATGAAAATAAAGTCAATGCTTTTTTTGTTAAAAGGAATATTAGTATAAAATAGCAACAGGATTGTTAAACATGATTACTATTTGAAATATAAAAGATGCGATTCGTTAGGAATATTTATGCCCTCAATAAAGTTCAGAGGTGTTTCGTGTATCTGTTCCTCGGATTCTACTGGTTTTAAATGTACAAATTTGAAGACTATATATAGGATTTGAATTCTGATGAAGTGAGTATTCGAACATCAATGTTAAATACAAATCTTTTGAATTTTGAAAAGGGAGTTTCCTTATTCATCTGATTATATATCAAAATAAATACAGCTTATACGTATTTTTAAATGTTATGAGCATAAAATAAAAATATAACAAGGAGGGATGCAAATACTTATGATTTATACAGAACGAAACTAACAACTCAATACATTAGATTAACCTTCATCGTACAAAGCATTGCTTTCTACATTTTGTCACAACTAATATATCGTCGACTGTTAAATACTTGAACTGTTTTCCGTACATATTAAATTAGATTTGTAGTATGTAAAATATGAAATAAAAAATCTATCAATCTGTCGATTATATTTATATAGACTCAGCTTTCAATATAGTAGATGTATTCCTATCATGTTAAAAAGTAGATATTTTACGAGTAAAGATCAACTAATGATACCCTTGCAAAACTTAATCATAAATTAATGTCATTTTAAAAAATGAGGTACTAAGAACTGGGTACTAGACAGATTGATACCTATGCCATTTGAAAAATCACGAAAGTTCCAAACCGGGGTATATTTATATTGAGGTTTAAAGTTTCTCAGCCCCTCTTCTTATATAGTCAATGTAATAAAAAAAAATAGTTTAAAATAAAGTGCCTCTTATAAATCAATATATAACATGAAAACCTGTCTTAGTCCTTTACTATGTATCGCTTTACACAAGTTTAACATACATTCCTAAGTTCTGTTGAATTAACCATTTAATGGATTGAATGTGCTACTTTTATCAAAATCAATGTTTGTTTTATTGTTTATATGGGACATTGGTATTTAAATGATTTCCCCCCAAAAAATATCAATCTATAAAAAAAAATGTTTTTCTCCACTCTAGGGCTATCTATCCCGACATTCCACTTAGTTTTTTTATGTCGACCAGTTGCATATCAAAGGTTAGATGAAAATGTTGGACACTGCCAAAAGCCACAAAAAGAGGGAATTACCAAGGCAAATATAGTTATAGAATCAGGTAATGATTTCATAATAATTATGATAGTATTAGTGTTAGACTTATTCTTCCATAAACCGCAAATGACATTCTGATCTTTCTCAGATCTTGGCAAGAATGATAAAAATTACTATTAAAAGAAGTAAGTTCTATGAGGTTTGTGGGTTGTTAAATGTAATAATACGTGGACTCTTGATAGTATTTTAACTGTGACAAACAAGTGATATTTGAACAGTTTTCTGATTATTTGATAATATATACAACATATGAAACAACAATACGTATTAAAGAGGTGAACAGAAAATTAAATATAACAAGGACGGATGTAAAAACTTACGTTTTATCCAGAACGGAAAAAAACAACTTAGTTCATAAATTTCACCTTTCTCCTTACAATGTTTTGTTTTCTACTTTTTTAGATCGAACATTTTCTATCGTCTGTTATATTTAGGTATTCAGTTATTTTTTATTATATTCCGCACAATGATATAATGATATACTATGAACACTGCAAAATGAAACAATGAACTGTCTGATTTAGGCCGGACGATAAGTAGGACGGAAGACAATACGAACAGCCTCCCCATAAATAATACATAATCAAAAAGGTGGTTTCCTAATGATAAACAAATCCATAATATTCTTTATTTCTGTGTTATCTAATAAATTGAATACAACATTTATATAACTTTTCTTTGCGTTTAGCCCCAAAGCAGTGTATAGCTATAGGATACACCAAACGGAAAAAGCTTTGTAACAATCAGAATTTTTAGAACAAAGATAATGTTTCTGTTGAAATGTGACTATTGTGCATTATTATCATTGAAAAAATAAACATACAAAATAAAAATGGCGGTGTTCCTTAAGTTGCAGACAGATAAAACGTTTACTTTTGCCTGAACATATTTGATGTCCATTTAATTTGTTTTTAAATCAGAAGGAATCTATACATGTTATATAGTTTATAACAAGAGAACTGATTAAGACTTTAGGGTATTGTGTTTTGTGCTAGGGGCCGTCTTAAATTTACAGTGAAATGAGAGTTTGTTATGCTCCGTGTTGAAGGCCTCACAGTGATTTTGAGATAAACAACAGCAATAAAAGCGCCGTTTCTTTGCTTTGTGTGTGATTTTTGTTGTTGCTGTGCATGTATTGATTTTTGTGTCATGAATGGATACTCCATATCCTTTGTTTTTCTATTTTATTGAACAAAAGGTAACTTTGAGACGGTATTTTCTCGTGGAGGGTCACTAATCTTTGTACTGGAAAGTAAATTTCGACTGGAATTATTTGAATCTTCAATAAGCAATATATCATTGGTTTTGATTTCTAAGTATATGATAATGAAACCATACTTTAAGTTAATTGAAAGTGAGCCACATTTAAAGACGTCGCACATTATGTTTTTAACTGGCGCTACAAGACCCAGTGTTTTTATTAGCATACACATGCGATATAACCATGAATTATTATAGTTTTTTCACTCGACGATATAACAAAAGATCAAAGTTTTAATATTTGTAAACTTTTGCAAAGTTGGACATATATGGATTTGGCTTTTTGTTTTAGGTCCAATTTAGTAATAAGCTGCTCACATATTTAAATAGTCACACATCCTTGTCAATAAAAGATATGGATTTAAGCGTTTCTGATAAAGGTAAATCCAGAAAAGCACAACTGTTACACAGTATTATTTTCATGATAATTCTTACAAATAAGCAGGAACATATAGCAAGTATCATTTTTTAAGCGGACTCAGAAAGCCATGATTAAGTTAATCGTCACTACATAGGATGGATAATTCTTAACATTGAAAGAAAATTGTATTTTCACAAGATTTTTTCATATTCATAAATTTTTCGATTTGAAATATATCACTAGATGTTAACTACGGTTTAGAAAAGAAATGTTGAAATATATTGAAAACCATTAATATTTTTAAATACGCTATACACGTATGACTTCACGTAATTTGTTGTAGAACGACTGTAGCAGCAAAGACCATGGAGGCTAACGATAGAAGTAAGTTCACATATTTCGTCTACAAAAGACTCATCAGTGACGATCGATTCAAAAAGATAAATTGTAAATTGCAAATTGCAAAAAGTTAAAGTAGTTAACGATGTTAATAACTGTTGCATATGTTTTCATCACGTGATATTATTGATGACCGAATAGTAACCACATAGTTTTCCTGCTTTTTTTGAAATTGTACTGACATTTATCATTAATTGAATCAATTTAATTCACCTTTTATACATAAGAAAATGCCTGTACCAAGTCAGGAATATGACAGTTGTTATCCATTCGTTTGAGGTGTTTGAGCTTTTGATTTTGCCATTTGCTTAGGGACTTTCCGTTTAGAATTTTCTTCGGAGTTCGGTATTTGTTATTTTACTTTTTACAGCGACCAATAAAAAACCGCATTCTGAACCTTTTTGATAAATTAGTGACATCACACAATAACTGTGCTGCCCTAACATAACAAATCTATATTATGCTATGCATTCATGATTGGAATAATTTTCAAAGAATTAAAGATTTTTTACCATAACTGCCATCTGAAGAAACATATGTGATCTCAAGACTTTAGAAATAAGTTATTCTTGACTTAGGTATAGGACTTATCAGACAAACTATGACGAAAAAAGGGACTCCAATTTGATTCATATTTCATCGTCCTTACAAATGTTTTACCTATATGCCTATAAGGTACGATATGTAAAAAAATTGTGACTATTGCCAATTTTTTCTAATACAGCACTTATTATTAATCACCAATTTTTATTCCAGGCGCTTACCAAGAATTCAAAGTTGACCTTATACAGTCAACAATTCTTGATACGGATGTGTTAGATAACTTGATTTCTAAATGCGTTCTTACTCTTGACGACAGAGAGGAGATTGATAGCCTTTCAGACCAATCAAATCGTAACCAGAAACTCTTAGAAATAGTGATGCATCGACCATACAACACCTTTACTATATTTGTTGACGCGATGAAAAATTCTGATCAAAAGTGTCACACTTCTCTTGTTGAAAGGATGGAGGCCATAGTCTTGGACAAAGACTTGACTCTTAGGAATGCACAACTCACAGATGAAACAACAGGTAATGTACCATATTTTAAATGAGTGAAAAAAAGTACTTTTTGTCATGTCAAAGGCTTTCATATTTTACTAGATTGTATGGATGGTGCTCATTGTCGTGTTACTGAGCTAACACTAGCTTTTGATTGTTCAAAGTACGACCACTCCAAAGTTTATGGATAAACACTAAGTTCTATGCTGAGCCATTCACCGTTTTTAGATTTTTTCATGTCTTACGCTTTTTTTTTATAATAACCCAATAATAAATTGACTTAGACAGATTTGTAACAACATTTTTACAATTTGGTGTTTAATGCTCTTTAAATTCGTTATTATTTCCGTATAACAGCTGTTTTGTTTCAAGAACCAATGATTATTCTTATATAATATCACTTAATAACAGTGACTTATAGTTGCTTAGCTCCAGTTCTGTTAGTTTTTTGTAAGAATATGACAGGCGATCGTAACTACATTGAACGATGCTTATTATATTGAACAAGTGTTGTAATAAACTTTTAAGATATATCTTCTCATTCAGGTCAAAACAGTATGTTTGAAAGATTGAATGTATTTTTACTGATATCCAGTGTACGTGCTTATGTTTGACCTATTGCAGTGTATTTGTTTAGATCGTTTGATGAACACTTTCTTTGGTTAAATTTGAACCTTTAACTGATGTTTTTGATAGTTTAAAGCTGCAACTTATGTTTCACGAATTGTAAAAACGGGAAAAGATTTTTGTTTTTATTAAACAACAATTTATAATCACTTGAAGCTCAATTGCAGTGTAGTTACCCCGACCCACGAAATTAATAGTATAGATAATATCATTTTATTTTAAATCGATACTCGTATATGGCGGAGTGGCGACCATAGTTTGTTTTATGTTTTGCAAGATACATATGCTAAATTATTGTCGTAATCAACATATTGACATCTGCGTTAAATTTTTAAAAGCAAGCACATACTGTGCTTTCGTAAATATTTGCTTTCAATTACGCTTATATTGTAATCTTATATCTTTCAGGTAATAAAGATGCTGTTAGATTAATCAGATGGTATAAAACTATAGTTCGTGAAATTAACATCAACAAAACTGGAATTCTTGACAAACTTTTTGCAAGAGATGTTATAGATCGTGAAGTTAATGAAAAACTTTCATCAGAAAAGATGACTTCGTATGAGAAAAATAGAAGACTTTTAGGAACAATTGTTAGAAAAGATATTTCGTCTGCCTTTCCAATTTTCCTTGAAGTTCTGAGAGAAGATAGCTGTTATAAGGATTATGCCAACAAAATAGAAGAAACACATGTTACAGAGAAAGACTTAGAATTGTTGAGTATTGGTAGGTTATAAATATTTTGAATATGTATCATAATAAGATAGTATTTGTGAAAATATTTATGTTCAATATTACTTCATAACTTCCTAATATCTACAATAAGTGAGGTATGGTTATATCCACGTTTTTGATGAGTGGTTATTTATATAGTAAATTGATAGAAATAATGTATACCTACATCTCTCTTTTCGACGTTTTGGAATCTAAAGCATTCTGGTTAATAAGTTCAAAAGAGTAATCGAAACGTTTTGATTGGTTAAAAAAGGTCTTGAAAATGGACATTTCACCAATGACGTTACGTGTTTTTCCTTTCGGGGTACAAACAATGAAATCATCCACAGTCCTTTAGCTTCTGAAACGCCGAATTTCGTTTACATTCGTACTTTTTATTATAGTGTATAGTTGGTAACTGCTTATATACAAGTATATAAATATATCTAATAATTCTATTATTTTAAAGGAAACAGAATTAGAGAACGGAAAAGAAATGGAATGAGTGGTAAATATATATTTTGTACCATTATTAATAAAATCAATACAATGTCAACTGAGAGGAAAAACTGTGTTTGAAGATATGGAAAGATGATAGAGTTTGGTTTGACCTTGTTTAATTTATTGACTACTTATCAACTAATTGAGATTTATGAAATACTTCAATTAAACTGCTACCAACCTGCACAACAGACAAACCTTTTAATAGGTCATCATACAGTGTTAAACGTTTGACTTGTTTCTTACAGTTTTATTCTAAATTATTGAATCGCTTAGACAAATACACATAGTAAATATACGTACTAAATTAATAAAGCCATTTTGTTTTGTCATTCATGTCAAGGAAAGTAATAAACAGTTATAGTTACATAGCATACAGGCTATCCTGAACAAAACTGGTCGCATTTTGAAAATTTTCTAGTGGATAACGGGTTTCTTCATGCATGTCAAGTAGAATAATGAAAACAGTTATTTTAACATAAAATGGCCGCCATTTTAAATTTCCAGTGCTTAACGGGATTGTCCAAATAGGTAGACCTAAATGAGTCTCTATCTAAATATTGGTGCTTGTACAACAATGTGAACGATTTTTTTTCCTTATCTGTCTGTTCAAATATATGTTTATTTTCTTAAGTATACATTATAAATGACACTTTCGCTGTTTATCTACAATTAAAAATATAAACAAGTAACTAAACTATAATTTTATTTCAAAATCTGCTAAGATCTTATGGTCGATCAAATAGAGAAATGGAAGATTGAGAGCAATATCTATGTCCAAACCAGAGCGACTAATCATGTGCTTACAAGTATCAACAGCAACAACTGTGTAAGTGTTATAGGACCAGCTGGAAGTGGGAAAACTGCAATAGCTAGACACGTAGCTCTCCAAATGGAAAGACTTGGATACACAATACTAACTGTGACTGATGCAAAAGAGATAAAAGATCAATACAAATCAGACAGAAAAACGTTGTACGTTGTTGACGATTTGTGTGGAAATTTTACAGCCAGCCAAAGTCGGATAGAAGAATGGAAGAAATCAATGAACGACATTAAGGGTATTCTAGAAAATGGTAATTGTAAGTTGATTATAACATGTAGACTTCAAGTTTTTCAAGATAAAGGGTTTACAAATTTAGAAATCTTCAAAACATGCGTATGTAACCTAAGGTCACAGAGTTTATCTTTAACATCTAAGGAAAAGGAAAATATGACGGCAAAGTATTTTAAGGAACATGCAGTAGAAGCATTGGAAAGTTTGAGTGAATATGAGTTTCTACCATTTTTATGTAAATTATATTATGTACAGAGAAACAATCCACAATTTAATGTCCAACTATTTTTGGATGATCCATTTTCATTTTACAAAAAAGAGTTGCCAAGCATGTATAATGACTGTGCAGAAGGTAGGTACAAATACTGTGCTCTGCTTTTGTTAGTTATATTCAACAACATGTTAAAAGAGAAACATCTTACAGGTAAGGATCCTAAAGTTAAAGAGATAATTGAAGTCATTATAGAAGTATGTGAAATAGACGAACATATTACAGGTAGGAAACTAAAGTCCCAACTTGAAATACTGACTGGGACGTTTGTGACTTATGATGCAAGCATCTACAAAACCATCCATGACAAGCTGTTTGATTTCTTGGCTGTTTATTTTGGAACACAAGAAGAACTTATAAGCATATTGATAAAGTATGCTGAACCTAGATTTGTTCGTGAAAGATTTGTTGTTACAAACGACAACGAAAGTGAACATCATTTAATACCTATATCTGATGACAAATTGCAAATGTACATGAAACGGGTTTTTGATGATATGGTATGTTCATGTGATGTAAATACCAACATAATAGAAAACATGAATTTAAAGAACACCAAACTATGCACTATGCTCCATGACTTTATGAGAAATCTTAACAATCACGAAATAATTGCCTTATTGAAGACAGCGAGCACAAATTTCTTAAATGTAATGTTTGTCATGAGAGAAACAGACATCAAAGACAAGGTTGAAAATAGGTTTCGGAAATATCAAAGTTTTAGTATTATTTTACCTGATGATTTATTACAGGAATACATTAAAAGGTGGTTTGGTGATTTGACAAAGACTATTACCACGGAGGCACATTTTGAGGATAATAGGCTTTTAAAAAGTGTTACTTTCCGTAAAGCTTTAAATTCCTTTATGAGACAAATAAACCCAGATAGCGTTGCTTCTATCATTCAAACTGGAAGTAAGGATTTCCTCAACACAATGTTTGTCATTACAGAACATGATATCGAAAACTTTCCAGAGAAACAATATGAACGCTTTGGTATTGTTATTCCTGAGAGAATGTTACAGCATTACATTAATAGGTGGTTTGACGATCTGACAAGATGCAGCAGGCTTTTTTTACTGGATGAAATGTTAATTGGGATGAATACTTCCATGTATTTCACTTTTGCTAAAATAGTGATGTTTGATTCATTCATCTTCAAAGAAAATAGACTATTGATGAATCTTTCATTTCGTGATGCCGTACGTACTTCCATGAGACAACTTACCACGGACAAAATTACTTCACTCATTAATACAGCAGGAGACACTTTTCTCAATACAATGTTTGTCATGACAGAGGATGATATCATTGACAACGCTAAGAACCGATATAAAATGTTTGGTATTGTAATCCCTGATGACTTGCTTCAGCAATACATTGAACAGTATTTTAATCGCCTGACAAACACAAATTGGATGATGCCAATCATTAATAAAAATAGAGCTTTTCAAAATGTTGATGGTCGCACGGCCCTGCGTAAATATATGAAACAACTAACCAAAGAGAAAATTGCTTCACTCATTCAGAATGCAGCGCATACTTTTTTCATTGCAATGTTTGTCATGACAGAGGAGGATATCAAAGACAACGCTGAGAACCGATATGAATGTTTTGGTATTGTTATTCCTTATGATCTATTACAGCAGTACATTCAGAGGTGGTTTGATCACTTGACCAACGCAACATTTTTCGACGATGTCATACATAAAAATAGACTATTTTTTAATGTTTCATTTCGTTGTGCTCTACGTAACTTCATGAGGCTATTACCTACAGAAAAAATCGCTTCAATCATTCAGACATCAAAGGATAACTTGTTTAATCAAATGTTTGTCATGACAGAGGCTGACATCAAAGACAACTCTGAGAACAGACATGAATGTTTTGGTATTGTGATTCCTAATGAAGTTTTACAGCAATACATTCAGAGATGGCTTGATGATTTGACTAAAACGAAATCGATAGAAACCACTTTTGATGAAAATAGAACAATGAAAAATGACATATTTCGTAAATATATACGTAACCACTTGAGACAACTAACATTAGACAAAATTGCTTTAATCATTCAGAATTCAAGTGCTGATTTTATAAATAAAATGTTTGTCATGACAGAGGAGGACATACATGACAACGCTGGGAAGCGATATAAATGTGTAGGTATTGTTATTCCTGATAATTTACTACAACATTACTTTGAGAGATGGTTAAAATGTTTGGCTAAAACCAGTGAGTTAGAGAAATGCATAGATGAAAATAGAGCATTGGAAAATGTTGCATTTCGTGCTGCCTTAAATGACCATTTGAGACAACTTAGCATTGCAAATATAGCTTCTCTAATTGGGGATGCAAATGACGATTTTCTCAACAGAATGTTTGTCATGACAGATGATAACATCAGAAACGACACTGAGAACCGATATGAATGTTTTGGCATTGTTGTTCCTTATGATCTACTGCAGCAGTACATTGACAGATGGTTGAAATGTTTGACTGACACCAGTGATTTAGAGAAATGCATGGATAGAAATAGACTATTTAAGAATTCTACTTTCTGTACTGCCGTGTGTAACTACATGAGACAACTGAACACAGAAACAATCGCTTCACTTATTTGGGACGCAGAGGTTGAGTTTCTCAATAAAATGTTTGTCATGACAAAGGATGACATAAAACACATCGCTGAGAATCAATATGAATGTTTTAGTTTTGTTATTCCTGCTTATTTACTTCAGCATTACACTGAGAAATGGTTAACATGTTTGACTAAAACAAGTGAGTTAGAGAAATGCATAGATGCAAATAGACCATTTAAGAACAATACATTTCGTACTACCTTGTGTAACTACATAAGACAACTGAACACAGAAACAATCGCTTCACTCATTTTGAACGCAGAGGATGAGTTTCTCAATAAAATGTTTGTCATGACAGAGGATGACATAAAACACAACGCTGAAAACCACTATGAATGTTTTGGTATTGTTATTCCTGATAATTTACTTCAGCATTACATTGAGATATGGTTAAAACGTTTGACTAAAACCAGTAAGTTAGAGAAATGCATACATGAAAATAGACCATTGAAAAATGATACATTTCGTACTTCCTTATGTGATCACATGAGACAGTTAAATACAGAAAAGATCGCTCCTCTAATTTGGGACGCCAATGATGATTTTCTCAACAAAATGTTTGTCATGACAGAGGATGACATCAGAGCCAACACTGAGAACCGATATGAATGTTTTGGTATTGTTATTCCTGCTGATCTGCTAAAGCCTTACATTGATATTTGGTTAAAACGTCTGACTAAAACAGAGGAGTTAGAGAAAAGCATAGATCAAAATAGACCACAAAAGAATGCCTTATTTCGTAATGCATTTCAAATTTACATGGAAAAGACAAACGCAGAAACAATTCCTTATCTGATTCAGACTGGAAGCACAGATTTCCTCAATACAATGTTTATCATGACGGCAGATGAAATCAAGGACAACGTCGAGACCAGATATGCATGTGTTGGCATTGAAATTCCTCAAGATCTACTACAGCAATACATTAAGAAGTGGTTTGAATGTTTAACTATAACCAGTGAGTTGGAGAAATTCATAGATAAAAATAGACCATTGAAGACCGTTAAATTTCGTACTGCCTTGTGTACCTACATAAGACAACTAAACCCAGAAAAAATTGCTTCTTTAATTTTAGAAAGTGAGGGTGATTATCTCAATAAAATGTTTGTCATGACATATGATGACATCAACGAAAAGGCTGAGGACCGATATGAATGTTTTGGTATTGTTATTCCTGATGATATGTTACAGCACTACATTGCAAGATGGTTTCTTCATTTGTCTGATAGATCTCAGACAAAGAGTTTTTTGGATGGAAACAGACTTTTGATGAATGTTACATTTTGTACTGCCTTGCGAACCTTCATGAAACAGTTAAACAGAGAACAAATTGCCTATTTCATTCAGACAGGAAGCACAGATTTCCTCAATACAATGTTTGTCATGACAGATGATGACATTAAAGACGAGGGTGGTAATCGATATGAATGGTTTGGGATTGTAATTCCTGATGATCTTCTTCTGTTACAGCAATACATAGAAAGATGGTTCAATAGTGTGACAGAAGCCATTTCGGTAAAGGAATATATGAATGCTAATAGGCCTTTGACGAATGCTTCCTTCCGGACTGCACTTCGTACATACATGAGCTTACTTGACACAGAAGAAATCGGAACCCTTATTTGCACTGGGAGTAGTGACTTCCTCAATACAATGTTTGTTCTGACAGAGAATGACATAGTCAGTGACAACTCTTATTGTCGATTTGAAAGTTTTGGTATTGTTATTCCTAATGATGTGTTACAGCAATACATAGAAAGATGGATGGATTGTATGACAAAGACCGACTCCGTGATGGAATTCGTAAGTGTTAATAGATCTTCTATGAGCGTTATAATGCAGACCGAATTGGAGCCATATATGAACCAGATAAATTCAGAAAAATAGTCTCTGGATAGGATTCATGGTGTAGTTGAATAGATTTGTCTTAATACGACGATGAATGAATTTCAACAGGAAAGAACTGACAAAAAGAATATTTAACTCTTCTTTTAATTTGCATTTTCAACTGAAAACTGTACCTTTCGTAGCGGTCTCCCGGGGATATTATTGTATGCAACAGACTTTACCAGTTGATGTGCGCACATTTCGTCTAACCTTTTTACCGAAGAGTAATGGTGTCAAAATCAAAACCACATATTTGTGGTAATTGTTTTTTTACAAATCATTTACACAAATGACTTTAATCTTGTCAACTGTTTTCAATGGTTTTGTTTTTGACATCTGGAGGTCGAAGGATTATATCTTGTAAACAAGAACTCTCAGTATTAATAACAGAACTGAAGCAGCAACAATATTATAGTTATTTACTAAATGAACCGTAATAGAATAAATAACAAATTGGAGAAATAACTTCTGATGCTGTTTTTCCTTATTAATAAACTTTTGTTTTTACTTTTTTTTAATTTTGCATAACCGTTTAAGGGCATACTATACAGTTTTGATCCACGGTAATTTTTTTAAGAACATTTGCGTACAACCTATTTTACACCTAGGCAATTCAAATATGTCAGAATTTCAGCCATTTAATCAAAATTTCGTTTTTTTTCTACATTTCTATCCTTTGGATAGATATACCTAACTTTTTGGTTTCAAAAGATAAACACAAGCGATTTTTTGGTAAAATCATTTGGAACATTTTATTTATATGAATATGCTGTAAATTTGTATAACAAATCTTTGAAAATAATTAATTTCTTTCAAAATTTCATCGTTTAGAAAAAGATAGGCATTTTTTACTGTATATGTCTCGACGACTTTTTATTAAACATTTGTACAAATAATCTTCATACGTAATTTAACCCAATGTCATTTTAAAAAAGAAGGGTCCATGCTTTTATTTTCAAGTTAAATCAGTCTGAATGATAAAAACCAGTTGAAAAATGCATCTTTTCCCGATATGTCAAAGTTTGAAGTCGCGAAAATAACATTTGACGTTAGCAACGTCATTACCTCCCCTGTATTTGTATCGTATGCCTTTAAACAACTATCATTATTTACAACAGTATTAAAGCATCAACACAAGTTATATAATATGATAAAATTTCGATACGACAGAAGATAGAATCACGTGATCTATTGATTTGCATATTTGTACATTATACAAGTGAGAACTGAATTAGATTATTTTAATTCAAGCGTGACGTGTAATGCACGAACTATTCCAATAAATAACTCAGTATTCCGTTTTATGGAGATATCTAATTTGTATAAAAAGTATATTCTTATAAAAATGGATGGAAAAATGAAAGTAATAACGGTATTTTGATACTTATTGTATGCAAAGCATATTTTACAAAGTATGGATGAAAAAATGAAAGTAATATAGGGAAGATTCAGGTAACTTGTTACTGATTGGTAACAACAAAGTATGAATGGAAAAATAAAATTAATGTAGTCATGTAGAAACTGATTGTGTATAAAACATATTCGACAAAATATAATTGGAAAAATGAAAGTGATATAGGTAAGTCATCATCAATGATCATTAAATAACGTTCTTGTTTTGGGTAACAAGTTTGATTGTCAAAAAGGTAACACAATTCAGTTTATCGAAGGTTGAACTGTCGTGCTGAACAAAAAAGGTGAGTCACGTATTTTTAACATATCATTATCAGCAAAATCATATTTCCGTCTGCGCCATTTAAAAATTCATTAAAAAGATATGAAAAGAGAATATATCTTCGAAAACTCCCTCCTCATTTCAACTTAATCTTATGATGAGCCATTCTTAACATAGTGTGCATCAAATGATGTGTCTATAATTAGCATCAGTAGGTTTTATCTATAGGAACAAATTATAAATGTATTCTGCCTTTTTATAGTGAATTTTATATATGTATGCCTTTTTATAATGAATTATAAATGTATGCATTTTTATAGTGAATTTTATATACATATGGGTATATGTCATCATTTTTATCTATCTACTGTCAAAGAATAACAATTGATATTTTCGATGTTTCTTTTTCCATCAACATCTCAATCATTTTAGATTTTCTAAGAAATATATATAATGTAATAACTCACTTTATGACATTTATTTGTTTCATAATGTCAGTTTAATATCGTAATTCCTAATTTTGTTAATTGAATTAACTTGTTTGTACACTAATGCAGCTGATGCAGCTTTAATAATGTGATAATGTTTTGATTGACAGTTTGCTAAATGTAAATTGCAATTGTAAATAAATGAATGATATAATTTAACCCTATTCAAAATATGTTTTGTTTTTGTTAATTCAGACGAGTGTATATTGATAAAATATTCTTTTTATTCACATGCTTTAACTAAACATTAAGTTAACATTCAGGAGATGCCTCTGTAAATAGTTTTCATTTTCATTACTTATTAACTGTGAAAAGTATTTGAAATTTTTAAGAGAAATAATCCTAATACTTAGGTCCGTCGTCTTTTAATATATCTTATTATTATTAGCATTAATTGTACAACCAATGTCGAACACTGTAAAATCATTGTTATGTTATGTTTTATATCATTACATCATGGACATTTTCACCTTATTTAGTATTATCAAAAATACAATGTATGCTTAAATAACAGTATCATTAAAGTTTACAGGGATAACTTATATATATTTGAAATCTTTTTACACCCGAGTATACCATTTCGGACAGTAAAAAATATTGTCTAGATATATATATATATATATATATATATATATATATCAAAATCGATTTTGTTCACATTTGGTCATTGGTTTTTGCTAAAAGGAAGACTTTAAAATCGGCCAACTGAGACAGTTTTTGAAAATTCATCAAAAAGGCTCAATTGGATCTGTAAAAGAACATTAGTGTCTATACTATTGATATCTGACAGATCTTTATCTAGTAAACAGATAAATAAAAATGATAATGGTGTTTGCTATTTGAATTCAAGGGAGGAAAAGGATGAAGGAGAATAAATTATCTTACTTTCTTGTCTTTTGAAAATTTCATTTCCTACTTATTGTTTATGCTTGAACATGATGAAATTAAAATTTAAATGCACCTTATGAATAAATTTGAATAATAATGTGATTAAAATGGAATTAACCATAAAAATAACATGAAGTGAACCAAAAAACTATATTTTATTGCTGTTAAAATTGTAATACGTTTCTGTAATGGTTTGATTCAATAAAAAAATAATGAATAATATGTTGATTTTATGAACTTCGATAAAATAGTTTCACGGTCACAATCACAAATTAGTTGACCGATACCATATATCGGTGTCGAACCTTACCAGCAACATGCGTTCGTGGTCTTATATCTTTAGATGCCAGTAAAGTCGCCTGATCAGTAAATTTACCAAGTGTCTCATTCCTGATTGTGGAATTTTTACTCAGTTCGGATGATTTGTGCTAAACAGGAGAAGATAACCATATCGACGCATCGGACTACGCTCTTTTTGGAGTCCTTCAGTATAAAAAAGTAAAATCACAAAAATACTGAACTCCGAGGAAAATTCAAAAAGGAAAGTCCCTAATCAAATGGCAAAATCAAAAGCTCAAACACATCAAACAATTGGATAACAAATGTCATATTCCTGACTTGGTACATGAATTATCTTATGTAAAACATTATTGATTGAACCTGGTTTCATAGCTAGCTCCTTTCACTTGTATGACAGTCGCATAAAATTCCATTATGTTGACAACGTTGCGTGAACAAAACAAACAGAAATAACAGGTAAAAATGTGAAAAATGAGGGAACAGCAGTCAACCGGGTTTTATAGCTAGCTCCTCTCACTTGTATGACAGTCGCATAAAATTCCATTATATTGACAACAATGTGAGAGCAAAACAAACAGACATAATTGGTACAAATGTCACAAAATAGAGATGTATTATGACTGCAAAAAGAAACAACAATCCACCAAAGTTCAAATGAAGTGGATATAAGAAATTATAGGCAACCGTAAGGCTTTCACCAATGAGAAACACCCATACCATAAAGTCGACTATCAAGGCCCTGACATGAAAAATATGAAGCAATTCAATTGAGAAAACTAACAGTGTTGCTAGTTACGAGTTGAGACGTTGCATTTAAACCGCGACGGATGTTCCGACATCAAATATAATATAAAGTTCATAAAAGATTCATATACACATCTTATAAAATAAATATCAGTGTTTGTTTGTGGCCTTGATTTGTGTTTTTGAAATCAATTTATGACATTAAAACATTCTATTAATAGACCATCTGATTATTTCAAGAGATCAAGAGATTTTCATCTAAATGAGCAATTCAGACATTCGTTCCGTTTTGTCAAAATTGCTCATACGTTTCAACCCACGTATATTTACACATTCATCTGTCTTTCAAAGAATTTCAATTTCCTCATATTGAACATTCCGTGACTGAGTAGCTTCATTCAATCTGCGCTGCATATGCAATTTATAACTCTCAGTCAATACAAATATATATTCAGGGGCTCTCGTTGTTTCATTTCATGATTTCCTGACCGATGGTTGCGGATAACACGGAAGCAGTTAAAGCAATAGTTTCAAATTATCAAGTTGAAATCATTTGTTCGAATGTTTTACGGACGCTAAACATGATCTGGTTGGCCGAATTCGAACACATATCGCAATTTTACTGTTCTTCGGCAACTCTTCGGCTATCACTATTGGAGAAGAAACTGCATACCCTTCAGGAGCACCCGAGTCCCTCCTATTTTAAATAATGTGCATTTAAATCAATCATTATTATTCTGTGTATTATCATAGTTTCCTTAAGAATCAGTTTAGCTGCTTGTCATATTGTAAAACGAAATGAATTGGAATTCAGCGTAACTGAACAAAATAAAATTATCCGAAATCTGCCATCAATGCCACATTCTTAGTTTGATTGATTGTTGGTTGCTTAACGTCCAGTGGCAATATTTCATAAATGTTCCAAAAAACAACATGAGTTAAGTATCATACATGTTATAGCTGGCTACGAGTTCAGTCTTTTAATATAACCCCCGAATGATGTTCCAAAAAGAGCTCTCTTACAAAGTTTTATGATATGTTTAAATACACATCTTTTAAAGGTTTTACTTATAACACTCAACAATTGGTGGATAATTTCCAAAAGTGATTCCTCTTTTTAACAGACATAAATACCTAAATAAAGGCAATAGTAGTATACCGCTGTTCAATAGTCATAAATCGATTTAACTGAAAAAAAATCTGGGTCACAAACCAAAACTGAGGGAAACACATCAACTATAAGAGGAAACAAAACGGAACAACAGAAACACTGAACTGCTACAAAAACAAACGCCAATATACATAAAAACGGACTATGTGATAACAATTGCCATATTCCTGACTTGGTACAGAACATTTTAAGAAAAAATGGTGGGTTGAACCTGGTTGTTTGGCTAGCCAAACCTCCCGCTTATATAGCAATGTTAAAAATACCGCTAAAATGACAAAATTACGTGACAGGAATAAAGTAAAAATAAATGCAAGAATATTCATGACAGAGAAATACATAGATAAATAATATAATATTCCATTTCAACATGTAAACAACAGAATAACAACGAACACCTAAAATTAATTAACGACAGAACACAAATACAGCACAATAGAATAATGAACTATGCGTCACACGAATGTATCAACGCCACAAAAAATGACGTCACAGGTAAATTTCTGAAAATTCAATATGAAATTGAGATTAAGTTTGTATTGGTGTTATTTGATGTATTTTCTAACCATTACAAGAATATTAATATAGAATTGTGTTAGTAATGGTGTAATTATTTGTATTTTATAACTATGATTTTTCTTCTAAATCAAACTGTGAAAAAACAAATGAATCCTGTGCATATAGTTGCTTTAAACCTAAAAATCTTATAAATGAACTAGGTGATTAATATCTTTACTTTTACATACATCAAGAAAAAGAAAAATAGAATTGAAACCACAAACGATAAGACATAAAACAACATCCAACCAGAATTACAAATGGAATATCATAACTAAATACATGAATGTTGGTTGTACAAATACCAAGACACGTCTAATAGCAATGCGAATTTACACTCAGTAAAACAGTCATATTCGGGAATAGGTCACGTTCGGTACTTAGAAGACCAGACGACGTAGATGGTAAACCACAATCTAAGACGTGGTAAAAATGTCGTTAGTTAGTTTAGACACAGACACATCGTATAGACCAACCAATTCGTGATGGTGTCTAAGCTAGGACCAGACGTTTTATTAACATTAATTGTTTTTAATATGCCTGTTACCTCATGTTCCTGAAGAATTATGTTATCAAGAAACGTAACGGGATGAGTATCTTCAGTAGAACCATACTGGGTCACAAACCAAAACTGAGGGAAACACATCAACTATAAGAGGAAACAAAACGGAACAACAGAAACACTGAACTGCTACAAAAACAAACGCCAATATACATAAAAACGGACTATGTGATAACAATTGCCATATTCCTGACTTGGTACAGAACATTTTAAGAAAAAATGGTGGGTTGAACCTGGTTGTTTGGCTAGCCAAACCTCCCGCTTATATAGCAATGTTAAAAATACCGCTAAAATGACAAAATTACGTGACAGGAATAAAGTAAAAATAAATGCAAGAATATTCATGACAGAGAAATACATAGATAAATAATATAATATTCCATTTCAACATGTAAACAACAGAATAACAACGAACACCTAAAATTAATTAACGACAGAACACAAATACAGCACAATAGAATAATGAACTATGCGTCACACGAATGTATCAACGCCACAAAAAATGACGTCACAGGTAAATTTCTGAAAATTCAATATGAAATTGAGATTAAGTTTGTATTGGTGTTATTTGATGTATTTTCTAACCATTACAAGAATATTAATATAGAATTGTGTTAGTAATGGTGTAATTATTTGTATTTTATAACTATGATTTTTCTTCTAAATCAAACTGTGAAAAAACAAATGAATCCTGTGCATATAGTTGCTTTAAACCTAAAAATCTTATAAATGAACTAGGTGATTAATATCTTTACTTTTACATACATCAAGAAAAAGAAAAATAGAATTGAAACCACAAACGATAAGACATAAAACAACATCCAACCAGAATTACAAATGGAATATCATAACTAAATACATGAATGTTGGTTGTACAAATACCAAGACACGTCTAATAGCAATGCGAATTTACACTCAGTAAAACAGTCATATTCGGGAATAGGTCACGTTCTGTACTTAGAAGACCAGACGACGTAGATGGTAAACCACAATCTAAGACGTGGTAAAAATGTCGTTAGTTAGTTTAGACACAGACACATCGTATAGACCAACCAATTCGTGATGGTGTCTAAGCTAGGACCAGACGTTTTATTAACATTAATTGTTTTTAATATGCCTGTTACCTCATGTTCCTGAAGAATTATGTTATCAAGAAACGTAACGGGATGAGTATCTTCAGTAGAACCATACTGTTCTCATTAGAAATGTTTGACAAAAATAAGCATTAAAAGCTTCAGCTTTATCAATGTTGTTATTATCAAGAATTAGGGGAATATCAGACTATCTGGACTTTAATCCAGCTAGATGTGATGATGTTATCCGCCGGCTACTTGTGCACAATTTGTCAGACCGTAATTTCTCAGCGAGACCGTTGATATACGTAGTCATGTTTTTGTATTTGAATTAGATTTACTATCTTGTTTCGATATTTTCTAAAATTTGACTAGTGCTCTGAAAGATAAGTCTGCTTCGCTCTATTGTTCGTCCATTTTCCCTTTCTTATTGCGCGAAGAATAGAACTGTTAGTCCACGGCAGATCCGTCTCCCTAACTTTTATACTTTTTATTAGGAATTGATTCCGCTGCGTTTTTCAATAGAATTTGGGTAAATTGTTCGACATCATTATTTCTAGCCAAATACGACTCTGTAAATACGCTCGAGAAAATAGGAAAATAGAGCACAAAAAAAGGACAGAGAATAATGGGGTACAAAAATATGAAGAATAGGGAAAAAAGGAAAACTATATAATGAATAGAGAATGATTTGCAAAATAGAAAATTTTCCGTAAAATGCATTGATTGGTCGATATACCGAAACATTTCATATTGACTGGTAATATTTTTCATACGTACATAACTTGGTTCTAGATAGTTGTAATTGAATTCCC